CTTTGATTGGTTAATGAGGTGAGCTGATCTTTTACTGAGTGATTGGCTCCACACCTACGCTGCCATTAAGGTTCGGTGACAGTTTTCACCACAGACACGTCAGCACACATGCAAGCTAATGTCGCCCACAGCATTGATAAATGCCCCGAGTTGAAATAGAGTAACCTACACTTCATTGCTCATCTGTGCAAGTGATAAATACACAATAATTAACACCTAACTATGAGCCGACAAAGGCACTGGATTGGAAACAAGAGCAGGTATGTGAATGGTTTACCGACGACGCAGCAAAAAATAGGTCTGATTGTAGCACCAGAGGTGTCTCCATGGAAGCACAAAGCTGCATGGAGACAGAAAACAATAGAAGGAAGGAAAAGGACTGGTCTCCAATCATTAAATTGTCTATGCTTGTCCAAAGCCCTTTAGTAAATCTGCTTGTGTTAACTGCATCAGTTAAGTTTCATATTTTTGCCACATTACAACCACAATCCTCAGTAATTTTATTAGAGTTGTACCAAGTTTTTTTTTTTTTGTGACAAATTCAAATCTGAAAAATGTGGTATTAAACCTCTTTGATATCCCTGATTAATATTCGGTAAAAAAAAAAAAAAAAACTCTCATCTGTTTCCTATGTTGGCAATCAAAATCCACGTGTTTGTAGTTTAGTCTGTGTATCTAAGGGTATATTCACACCTGACACATTTGGTCCTCCCTAAACTGATCAGAGTTCATTTCCACAGATGGTTCTGATCTTTTGTACATGTTTGAATAAACTAAAGTAAACTCTGGTGCGGAGCAATTCCAAGACTTTACAAGCCATCATCGCTGGGCATTATGGTAAAAATTAGTTCTTAAGTATTAATGCTAATGCTAGTGCTGCATACTGATTTTGCTAAAACAGTACCAGATCTGGCGTTTTCTGCTTAGCATGCTGCTGCCATTATGTTGTGGGTCGGGCCATGAAGAGTGTCTTGTCTCATTCAGGTTGAGGCACATTTTTGCCAACGCTGTTCCAAGATTAAAAATAACCCATTACGAAACCTGCGTTGAATGAGCTGCTCTTTAATATTAAAACTGATTGCAATAACACTCGGGTAAATGTGCACTACAAGCATGACCTCCAAATATGTTCTTTTCCAACCCTATCACTTGCAGCAATGATTGTCATCCACATGACTTTGTTTACAAATTATAGTCTGTTTGCAAAAAAGCACAGTGTGAAAGTAAACCGCACCAAGCAAAGTAAATAAAGTCTACTTTTGGTCCGAACTAAACAAGCTAAGCTAAGGACTGGTGTGAGTACACCATAACTATCATCCATCATTAACAAATCAAATAGTTTGACATGACACCTAACCAACATAGACATGTGTAACATAAAACGAATACTTCACATCCCTTTGAATCTCCCTATTAACCCCCCAAACTCTCACCCCACCCATGCTGCAAGCTTGATTTGAAATCATTGTCTGACTTCATTGCACCAAACTGAAAATGTAGTCACATTTAACTGGCCAGACAAACTATATACCAGTTTCATTCAGTTCTCTTCTCACTGCTCTGAGTAGTCACACTGTTTGTTTCATCTCTGCCAAAGCTTGGCATCAAGAAGCCAAAATGTGTAAAAGCCCATCTTTGAGATCATAATCTCTTCACCCTCACACTTCCACCCATACAACTGCAAAATCCTCCAATGTTTAGTTTCACACCTATGCCTTCACCTCTCCCTGCTTCTTTGCTTCTTTCCACAGTCTCTATATTATTACCCCTTTGTCCTTTTCTTCTTCCAACCGCCTCTCTCACCACCGTCTCTTGACTTTCTTGTGTCCAGACACGGGACTCTCCTCACAGCAATGGGTTCTCAACTCTCCAGATGGAACAGTCATTTTCCACAGAAACTCAACTTCAAAGACTGGGAAGGAGCAGGAGGAGGAGGCAAGGGGGAAGGAGCCAAGCATCCGCCATGCTGACAAGTGATCTAACTCTGAGACACAATCATTCAGTCTCTTTGAGTGACCTGACATGAAGTAGGAGGAGGATGTATACTTTTCATACATGCTGATATAATCCTAGCTGCTTTGGAACAATAATAATGATCAAAATGTCATATGTCAGTCTCAGATTTTAAATGAAGTGTCCGAACGGGCAATGGTTTTTACTCGCAAAACTGTTATTTTTCATTTTTAAACAGTGCTAATGTGGACAAATAACTAAGTTGCAATATTTGCAGCAGGAAATCAATTTATGCAAAGAAAATCCATCTATGCACCATGAGGACATGCAAATGCAACAGAAAGTCAACAAGATTCATATTCATTAAATTTTACTGCAAAGAATCACCAAAAATAAAACAAATTCATTTAAAAACAGAAATTTAGGACTTTACCCAAAAACATGACTTCTTTAATGCAATATAGTCTTTTAAAAAAAAATTTTTTAATACCTTGTTACAATGTGTTGTTGGATAAGTATGCATAATTTTGCAAAATTATCAAATTAGAAAATCTAAAAGAAATCCAGCTCCCCTCAGATTGTTTTAGGAAGAAATAAGAGGACCCAGAAAAAAAAAAGTCCAATGGGATTTTCCGGGTGAAATCAAAGTTAAACTAATAAAATAAAAAAATTGGGTATTAATTCATATGGAGAAAAAAAAAATTATTATCCTCAACTTTCAGCAACAAATGTTCTTTTTTTGACACAATAGCATGAGTCACAAAAAACAAAAAACAGAATGAAAAACACACGAGTGAAAATAGAAACTAAAAAGCACTTGTGGGCACAGTATAAAGGAATAGTGGTGACGTCAAAATAATATTAGTGTGTAGTATATAACTCAGCATGTCCATATGACAGGATGTGTCACTGTTGCTGATTCTCCACAGCAGATCATACCACAGCCAAAAAGCGACTGTATACCAAGGTCCTGTACAATATGAATATATATTTCAGATTATTAAAGAAAAACAACTAAATGTAGGATTCTTCATCAAAAATATGTGCCTCATAATCTTTCAAAACTGTGTATTTGTTTGTAATCTAAAAAAAAAAAAAAAGATGTGTGCAAAAACAAGAAGACAGACCAGCTATTTCCTGGGGGACTGCAGGATCTCTGTCCTCCACCCACACAAATCCCTTTATTAATAACGATAATAAAAAAATGAAAACATTCCAGCATCTTAGTTCTACTTAAACATTGATCTGGAACTCATAGCTGAGCAGTCAAAGTGGTGTTAAGCTTTCAATACACAGCAGGAAACCAGAGGCAGAACTTCTTCCTCTGCCTATAAAACTCTTAAATAATCTGCATGAGTCGAGTCTCGCACATTGTCACCCACAACAACATGGCTACTAGGATCACTATAACAACCGAAGTTGCTGAAACACTAGTATTTAACTTTACTTTGTTCCATATAAGAATTTGTTGCAATATAAGTCAACTTGTTTCAGTAAGCGTTAACATAGAGTCAGATGTAAAAATTTGCAGGTGCATCTAAAAAGAATTAAATATTACCAACAGCAAAACATATTTCATTAACTGAACTCAAAAAAGTGGAACAATATCTTATACAGTACAAAGGTTTTTTTTTTTTTTTTTTAAAAAAAAGCTCAAACCTAAAGATGCTCCCTGTTCAACAAGAGTTGTAACCAAAAATATTCATAGAAAGCCTAGAAGAAGGAAAAACTGCAGTAGAAAATGGTACTTGAACAACAGAGATAAATGATGAATTTTAAATCAAAACCAGTTTGAGAGTTTGGTTGAGATTCACAAGACCCGCCACACACACACTCCCAAACCAGACACAACTGGCAGACGTGTCTTATTTGGGCTAACAAGAACTGGGTTGTCACTCAGTGATCCAAAACCCTCTTTTTAGATGAAAGCAACATTGATTTCATTTTGAAACCAATGTCCCAGAGTTTGGAGGAAGAGTGGAGAGGTACATAATTCAATCTGCTTGAGGTATAGTGGGAAAGTTCCACAGTCAATGATGATTTGATGAGGGATGCTAGTGTTGGTTCAAGTTTTATTTTTAAGACCAAAGTCCACATATTGGCCTGTCACTTTGCATTGACGCAGTAATTCATGCAAAAGAATCCCTAAACAAATATTGAGACCATATAATATCCAGTACATGTACGTACTTTTCAGTAGGCTGCCATTTGTGTATCAAAAAAGGCAGGATTAACAGAAATTAACACAAATTTCAGTTTTGAACTGAAATACTGCCATAAATTTTTTTTAATTATATTTCAATTTAATGAGATACACAAACAAATATGTATATGTATATGTAAATGTGTATTCTAATACTCTACAATATTGTCTCTTGCCTCTTAATGGTTCTGTGGAGTTTGCCAACAAATACATAACTCATTATGGCAGATTAGAGACTATCAAGCACTTACTATGTGTTCTTACTACAAATTATCTTTTATGCATGCAGTCTATAAGATTAATAAAAAAAAAAAACTTCTTTAAGAGATACATCAGGGTTCAATGGAGGTACTTTTGCATGAACACTTCTTTAACACCAACCTTTTGTAACATCAAGGAAGGCTTTGACTATATTGTCACAACATAATGTTAAACCACTAAAATAAAATAAGAAGATCTATCTGGAAGAAAGGAACTCGGTGTGCAGTGGTAAAGCCATGACTTCTTGCTGCAGCGTCATTGTGCAATGCAATAGAAGACTGGTTGCTTTTGTTGCAAATATAACAGGACAGACATGTGGGAGCATGTTGCAAGTAAAAGATGAGATCTATCATCTATTGAGTGAAAAGCCTTTCTGCCAGTCAATGTATCAAATTATTATATGCTTATTGCATCAGCATGAGGACATGTGTAATGCTTACAGCTCTCGCATTGACTCAGAGGGTGGCGGTGCTCAGCTGCCACACCTCTGAACAATAAGCACTAATTGCTCAATGAGCTGCAGCTGGAAGTGGCCATTACCAGCAACACGTTGGGGAGCATATATAAAATGTAGACAGGAAGTTGTAAGCTACAGGACAGCAAGTTCTCTCAGGTCCAGTTCCAATCTGCTTCTTGCTAGCACCTGTGAAATCTTTGGTGCTGTTCTCAATCAGAAGCCATGGCTCTTGGACTCCATTTGTGGTATATTTCTTTATAAATTATGTTCAGTGCTTGTATCACTGACAATTTGCTTGGCCTACTGTTTTCTTGTTGCATCGTCGCCTGGATTTCTTTGCTGTTGGATAGCAGTGTCTCTACTGAGCGGCAAGGAAAGCCTTTACCCAACTTTAAAACTTGTACATGTACAATGTATTACACTTTGTGTATATATATTGTTTTGGGATCACATCGCTGAACTCGGGACAAGATAAACCTGGTGGATGTAAATGACTTCTCAGACTTTGTCCTTGGATGAAGGGGAAAGAGAGCTGTTGAGTAACAGAATTGTAAACAAAGAATACAAGAAGTCTCCAGCAGTGCAGCCCTTGAAATTGTTTTCAGTCAACCAAAATATGGTTATGTGTGGAGAGAATTGTTAATGGTGTTTCTAGACAACGGGAGTCAAATGTCCTTCAGCCCATCACATTTCCCCTGCAATCTGGCAGCCAGCTGGTAGATCAAACTCAGCCCATCCTTGATTATGAATCTCAGTCAACACCTCTAGCTGTCCATGGAAGCAGAAAGCCTGCCCCTTCCAGCCTTGGTGAGACAACTTCCGAGTCTTTGCAGCATCTGCCTCCTAGCAGAGGAGGAGTGGGTGAACAGGTAACTGGTTCTCGTCACCAAGAGGTTGACTCTAATAATGTAGGGCCTGGATTTCTACATGCTGCTTCTTCCAACCAGGGTTCAACTATGGTAGAGGTTTCACTTAGCTATAGCCCCAGTCAAAGACAACCATCTCAGCAATATCGACCTGAAATTCCAAAACCTCAAAGCTTATCTTGGAGTACACCAGAGTGGTTTGGCCATGGTAATGAAATTGATATGTAACTCAACTCTGCTCTCCCAAACTGGCTTGGCTTTCCTGATGCCTGGTTTCCAAAACTGTATGTTGCTTCAAGAGGCTTCCAGCCCAACTTCTCATACAACTATTTGGCTCCTAGAGTTAGATCTCTCCCAAAAGCCCCTGAGCCACCCAGACCTCTGCCACCTCATAAAAGCTTCATCATTCAGTCCAAGAATGTCTACCAGCACCGATAGCTTCTTGAATCCAAAACTACCTACACACCAGACTACAAGGTGCCAAAGGGGAAATATGGCAAGAGTGTGACGGACTTGTAGGGAGCGGTGCAGAAAGACTACTCTCGCAAAATCTGTGTTCTAGTGCTACTGTAACTGTACAGCATTTCACAAGTGAACTAATGTCTACTTTTTTTTTTCTCTCTAGACTTGCCTGCCTCTGAGGAGTCTTCATTTAAAGGGGAAAAATAAATAAAACTTTTAGCAGCACTTCAGTCTCCTTTCATGAATGCATCAAAGGCACAGAGGGGCTATTTAAAAACCCACGAAGAGGAAAATTTTACAAAAATTCCCTACCTTGGCATTGGAATCCTTGTTTCCCAAATCCCCTGCAACGAGACAAAATGAGGTTGTTTAAGATGAACTCCAACACTGGCTAAACTAAAATAAGCTTTAAAATCACATACGTCTGACTTGTGTAGTGACTCGTTTTTAATTTTTTTTTTTTTTATAAGGCTCACCATATGAAATCTGTGCAGTGGCTGCAGAACGTTGGTTGCTTGAAAAATCTCGCAGTAAACTTGTGGTTCTTCACTTCATGCACATTTTTCTGTCGCAAGGCTCCTTTACGGGCGAATCTGTTCCCAACCCCCGCCGAGTCATTGTAATGTAGAAGATGCTCAGCCATTGCGGGGGAGTGAATAAAGTTTAAAAAGCCACAACTTTACTAGTACCGACGGCTGTCGGTGATGCTCCTGACGTGTGGCGCTCTCCTCTGACTGCGCTTCAGCTGAGCGCTCCTTTTCATTCAAAGTGACGCTGGAGAGGAGCAGCCTGCGTTTACGTAGCTTGCGTGAGAATATTTCACGTTTACTCATGAAAACGCATGCACTATACTTAAACGTGAAAGCCGCATCAACGGAGATTTTGCCTATTGTAATAGGAGGAAAGCTTTTCGTATAAAGTAATGACACATCCGGATGGGTACAGCAATTTAGGTCTGCATAATACAAAAGCCTTTAATATTTTTCAGCAAGTTGGTGTTAAAATTTACCACATGTTCATAATAAATTCGGTTTATTCTTGCTGTGTACATTTTTGTTTTTCAGATTTTAACAGAGCTCAATTTGTCATTTGCCTGACGAAATTGTGCACTTTAAAATAACCAGAAATCACTTCGGAAGGACGTTCAGGAGTTAAAATACGAGTAGCTCTTAAAGGCGACGCCTCCCCATATCAGAACAGCTGTGATTTAACCTACAGTTGTTGTGCGCCTTCGTGTGGACATGATAAAAAACTACAGCTTCCAAATAAAGTGTACATTAATTAGATTCAGTTTAAAAAAATAAAATGTACTTTAAAGTCGATTCAAAAAGTAAGCAAAGTATGGGCATTGATAAAGTATTTCTGAATTAAATGCAACTAAAAAGCCTTTCACATCTTCTATTAATTATCCTGCCATTCAACCATATTGGGTTTAAATTTTTAAATCAAATTACTTGATATTTTTGTAAATTTCTCTTCCATCATTGTGACCGGTATTAATTTTTTGTAAAAAAAAAAAAAAAATTGTAAATGAAATGGCTTGATGGAAGAGTCCCCAATAACAGAAATTGGTAGAAGCAGTAGAGGACATTTTTAAATGGTGTTAAACAATCACACTAATTGGTCTACAACTGGTCTTCGTATGAATCAAAGGGTATAGCAGAGCAGCAGAGGTTATTCTGGAATCTTTCTCTACTTGCGTTGTCTCTAGTCCTAGCATCTGAGAAACAAGGGAAGCTGCTTTTCAGGCAAAAGCCATGGCTTATAAACCTTTGTGGTATGTTTTGTTACTGTGGGTATTTGAGTTCTTGTTTATAATTGTGAACTTAATGTGTGTTTGTTTGCCATAATAGGATTTCTTTATTTTTCAACTTCTCAATTCCTCTGTTTGGTCAGCTTAGCTGACTTGCTTTGACAACACTACTTGTCTGTTTGTGGAAGGTCACTTTTGCCTACTCTCTATTCACATTGAATAGTTTACCACCATGCCTTGGGAGCCTTTGACTTGCAGTGTCATTGGCCAGGGGATGACTTGAGCCTCATACACAATGTAAGCACTAGCAATTTATCAAAATATGAGGCAGATATTTTAGGTATGGAAAAATGAACAATTTACCAGTCATTATATTTTAATTACTTTAATCTTCAACCAATCAAACTCCAGTTTTTATCACTGCACTTTCTATAAATAAGTTGGACTTGAGGTGGGCCTTCTCTTTAGCAGGGACAACAATATGGCTGACACAGAAGACACCCATAAGGTAGTAAACATTTCAACCACACACACAGAATGTTAATTTATACACGCTAGAACAAAAAAAAAGTTAAAAAGATTTCTGCCACTCTGATAAAAAATATCATGAGATAGTTATCTCAATAAATAAACTTATTGAGGTACAATATAATGTTATCTCATTATATTGAGATAACTATCTCATGATGATTTATTATTTTTTTTATCAGAATGGTGGAAACGGACTTAGATATCATATGTACTAAACATGCTCTGCCAACTTTAAATCTGAATGAATTAACGAAAGTTAAGGGGAAATTAGTCAGACATTACACTGCTGCAAGACGGGGACCTCTGTTGGAAAGAGGGAGAAGTCGTCTCCGCGGAAACGGATGTGTCGTAAAGTGAGGTTGGGAGTTTGAAGCCGTTTGAGCGGCGAAAATCGTGTTCAAGGTAATCTCCCTTTAAAGTAAAAGGTTGTGTTGTCGTACACCTTGTAGTACGTTTCAAAATCTCATTAGGTTACCATAGAGAGCGAGAGACCAATCGTTACAATAAGGAGCGAAGACTAGCAAGGGTGCTAGGCTTTAGCTCGGCTATCATTAAAGCTAATATCTCTCTAACAGATCATAGTTGCTCAAGCTGTGTAGTGAGTTGTCATGGCAACACAATACGTTCCCGTGTCTCACACGCAGACCGTTTGATTTGAAGATAAATAAATTGCCAAACCCGAGCTTCAGGTGGATGTTTATCGTGGAGACAGATTTTCAACAGGGATGTGAATCTGTCTAACGTTCTTTAATTTCGTATTCTGGTCACTCAAAATAATCCTTTCAGGTCACTATGAGCAAACAAGAAGAGTTGTGGGAGAAGCTAGACTCCGAGTTTGACCACATTCTGCTAGACATGAAACCGTATGTTCTCAAGCATCCCAGCAAAACAGGTGAGATTCCATCACAGCAGCACGAATAGAGATGCAACAGAAGAGAGCACGTCATAGTGCACTCACAATGTCTGGTGAAAATATTTACACACATTCTATGTAAATATTTACACACATTTTATGTTTGCATTTTGTCACATAACGGCTACAAAGCTCAGTCGGTGTCCTTTATTTAGAACAGTACAACATAGCAGGCCAGGTAAGGGGATCTTTTTTTTTATCAGAGAAACTGTCTACAGGATTATGGTAATTCTGGAAGAGTTGTGGAGATCTACACAAAGTCATAGATGGCAAACCTACTGTTAGTCACACACTCCTTCCAAATCCACATATTTAGACCATATTCATGCCTGACTTGAAAATGAATAACTGTTGAACTTAAAAACACAGACATGACCTACACGTAGACTGTGAAGCGATGCAGCATTTATAAGTTGTCCATCCATCCATTTACACCCTTGTCCCTTAGTGGGATTGGGAGGTGCTGGTGTCTATCTCCAGCTAACGTTCCAGGCGAGAGGTAGGGTACACCCTGGACAGGTCGCCAGTCTGTCACAGGGCAACACAGAGACACACAACCATGCACACACACACTCACACCTAGGGGCAATTTGGAGAGGCCAATTAACCTGACAGTCATGTTTTTGGACTGTGGGAGGAAACCGGAGTACCTGGAGAAAACCCACGCATGCACAGGGAGAACATGCAAACTCCATGCAGAAAGACTGGGGCTGGGAATTGAACCCAGAACCTTCTTGCTGCAAAGCAACACCTCTACCAACTGCGCCACTCTGCAGCCAATTTGTAAATGTTTATGTTTTTGTTACTGGGATATGCAGGAGGAAGTGTACTCCAGATGTATTCTAATGCAAATAACTGGGATGTAGACCTCTTCTGTTATGCTATTTTAGCATATAGTTCAAATGCAATTACAGATTTTAAATGTCCTTTTTCTCATCTCATGCCAGAGCGTCAGCATTGTGCCGTATGGATAAAGAAGCTGTGTGACCCGACAACATGTGGTTCGGGTGTGATGGATCGAAAGAACCGCAACATGTATGCCAATTTGCTGCTTTCTATGCTCAAAAGGGGCATCCTGGAGGGCCCTTTTACCGCCAAACCAGAGCCTGGAAAGCTCAAGACACTTCCAACCTACATGGTATGAAACATGGTCTACTCTTGACTTTTTTTTTTTTTCTTTTTTGAGATTTGAAATGTTTTAACCACTGAAATTGAGTACATCAACACATTTCCAGTTAATCTAATACTCTGCTGTCTAATCTGAATTTTTAGTCCATTTATTTTGATGAACCTCTGAGTGGTCGATCGGCTGAGCAGAACAGAGGTCTTCCTGACTGGGTCACAGGAGAGCTGAGTGGTTGCGCTGATGAAAGTTTGGTCATGGATCTTCTGAAGGACCGATCCAGTTCTACACCCATTACTGCTCATCACAGGTGGGTCACAACTATAATTCTGTATATTTGTAGTTTTTTTTTTTTTTTTTTTAACAGACCTCTTGTCTTGATACAGGTACTACTATTAAAACAAAATGTAAATAAATCTGCTAACACAGTACATGGTGGTGCTCCATGATGAGTTTACAATGTAACGCTAAATACCAAAGCAATTAAGCAGCAGAGTGTGCCTTTTGTCAGTTCCTTTCAAACTGTTAAGTTTCCTTTCAAACTATTAAGTGCAAAGATTCTTAATTTGGTTCTGAATACATTTCTTGGAAATACAGTGGAACCTCAGCATGCAATCTGAATTGGAACAAGCACTTTAGATCTTGAAAATTTGGACATGGAAACAATATTTGTCAACGACAAAATGAAAACATTCAAATAATTTGTCCCAAGCCCACTTAAAACTTGCACATTCCTCTTCTTTTTGGTATTATTTTATAGTAACTTTAACAGAAGTACTGTGTCGTGAAATTCAAATGAAAGATAAAGACTTGTTCGGGTGATTTTTGTATCACTTTGGTAAGCGCCTCACCTTTTCCATTGTTGTCCATTGTATTTAATTTGTGCCAGTAGATCAGATCAAATTTAGCATTTTATTCTTAATTGAGTTATATGTTTTATTGAAAACCCCAACAGATATTTTAAATTAGCAATAGCACATATGTTGTGGGATCTTATGGTATTAATGACTGCCTTTTTGTGATGGAAGTTATTGATGCATCAGACTTGGTGATGAGCTTGAGTCTCAAATAAGCCAGACATGTGTCAAAAAACTAGAATGCTTTGATAAATAGAAATGACATTGTGATATGTGCACAGACAATAGAAATCAAACCAATATAATACTTCATATATTTTTAATTTTAAAATCTTACTAAACCATATTTATTCGTTTGAGTCGGCCAGAGTTGGTTATTAATCTCTGAAACAGTAAAGACTCTCTCCCTAATATAAAGCCTTTTAACCTTATCTATTCTATTTTATCCTCGAGTTGGATGAATGGGAAAACATACATTATGCAATATCATTGCTAAATATTGCAATAAGAATGGCTTATTTTTCTATCTCCACTCCCGTCTGCATCGCAATTCTCTCCATGAGTTTTGCCCTCTCAGACACCATGTGTAAAATCTGATCTGATTGGCCAAATATATCGTTTTTTATGCAAAGAGTAAATGAATGGGACTTGAAAATATTTTTAACTATCACTGACCATAATCCAAGAGGTTCTTTGTTATAGAGCCACTGCTCTTCTTGATATTGCAATGATGATTCATTTTAGAGTTATAATGCAGCCCCCAAAGCGCTTTTGTAAGATGCTTCTCATTCAAACACACACATTCCTAATAAGTCTACATGCAGTGGTTTTCACTCTGTCAGATTGTGATGATCAAAATCAGAAGCAATCATGGGACTCAGCATCTTACCTGACGACAAAAGAGTCACAGGTGTGAAACGAACCTTTTGTATGTCAGTTAGAAGCTAACTGCTCTTTACATGAGCCACACGGACAGTCTGAGGTTTGTTGTTGTTTGTCCTCTCCGGTTATTTATTTATTTAATTAAACATCGCCTCGTATCAAATACAATTTTAAATATGATTGTAGCTGGGGATCTATTGGTTTTCAACAGCAAATAAAAATAACATAACATATTATTTGTTGGGGAAATGTTGTTAAGGAGCTCCATATTAGTTCAGTTTTGTCCCATGGGTGTGACATAACAATGTCATGTATTTTTGTGACATCCTTTCTATGTACATACACTTATACATAATTGGAAAGCTAACATTGTTGAGTTTCCAATGATGTATTGGAATGTAGATGCGATAAGCGCTTTTATCAAACCACTTAGAAATGTAAAATAATGGTTAACTCACCATTTGAGGCCTCATATTATTGACAGAATGAAGCCATTTAAAACAACCTTTTTTTTTTTTACATCCACAAAACTCCAATTAATACAATCCAATAAAATAGGGCAAAAGGTTTACTGATGAAAACCATCAAAAGCAAATAACATGCAAAATGTCTGTGGATAACATTTGGAAACCAGGAACTAATATTTATTAATAATATAGTTAGACTTATTGGCCTATGTTAATTATTCTGTAGAGACATGATGCTGCTCTGGGACAGTCTGACAAAAGTGAGGCTGCCATTTTGTGCCGTCGGCTCGTCAGGGCAACACCAACAGGCAAGGCGGATGAAGTATCTCGCCCAAGGACATAAATGACGAGGTCCAAAGAGTCACTTAAGGCTCCGGAGTGGCAGGTTACAGACCCTTTTTCTAGACTTATCTCCTACGATTAGTTTACTTGCAAGATCCTGTTTAGCAAAATTTGTACCACTCAATAAAATAACCATACGAATAAGACACAAATCATTACTTGCCTCAGTGGTGGGAAAGAGCTGATGTGAACACCACTGTACCCTCTTTTGATCCTGAAAGTGTAAGGACTGGCTACTTAAGAAGCTGGCCGCAATAACAGAAGTCAAAATTTTTAAATTGTAATTTCTGTTTCCTTTGCAAATCAGTTTTCAAAATATTTATGCACAACAACTGTTATGTCATCTGTAGTATTCATTTTGCATATTAATTTTAAGACATACCTTGAAAAGTATTAGGTTAATGTTTGAAAGGGTGCTGAAGGGAAACCTGCTTTATTTGTCTGTTAGGGAGACGGGCACAGGAGAAATTTGCGTTAATGGTTAAGGCATCTGTCGGAACTTTCCACTCAAAACATCTCCTACCAGTCTGAAGACATTGAACTGCGCTGTGAAGCTACAGACACAAATAGCTTTTCTGACTGATTGCCTGTCATCTTTGCTCAGGAGCACCATCGAAAAAGCTAAAGACATTGCCAAGTGCTTGCATCAGGCCGTTTGAGCTGTCCATTCTGAATTTTCAAAGAAAAACACTTCAAAACAGCATGAGAGAATAAGGAACTTCTCATATAATCTACCCATCGTTCTGTTGCTTTTCTCCACCGGCTGAACATGAGCTTTAATCCCACAGTGCAGGAAAGGCAAAGAATAAAGCTTAATACATCATTAGGATGTTTAATATTTAGTATCTTCTCTGCGATTTATCTTTCAACATGTGAAATGCTCAAAAAATATATTTGTTCTACGCCAAAAATGAAGTAATTCAATTGAATTTGCTTGTCTCTTTGATTACTGTCTAAAACTAAATGTGCTGGATGTGAAGGCAGCTTACTTTGCTTGTCATCAGTCATCCTAACATGCTCGGGGATATTTCCTCTGACTGCAGGCAGTCCAGGGGCTCCACAAAGTGATGTTAGCAATGGCTCTTGGTTTTTCAAATTTAATTAGGAAGGAGAGGCAAATCGGGGCCCAGTGGCTTCGTATACTCATTAGCATCATAAAAAGAGAGCACTGTAGTAGGCAGAGATTATTATACACCAGGGCGCTGCGTAAGAGGGAGTACAAGCCCACCGCTGCCGTATTTAATCCAAAGTTTTCTGTTGAGGCTGTGGAATTATGTCGTTACGATTAGGCGCAGCAGCACTTAGTGCTGTCACCTCTTAGGAAGATGGATATAGACAATAAAAAGGCCTACTGGGGCCTCACTGTGTGGTGTTTAAACATTTCTTCTCACAGTCTAAAGACATGTTAAGAGTTAACTTGCCAACTTCTAACAGCCCTGTGATTGAACTTTATACTGCTTGTTGTCCATCATTCCCAGATTTGCATAAACCCTTAGCAGGTTGCAAAGATGATTTTCCTCACGCATGGAAAATGCTTTATTTCTCTTTTTGATTTTTGGACATAACCCTTACTCCTAAGCCTGAGGCTGTAGGTCTTATCCAGAAGAGTTGGATTGGTCACTCCAGACTAGGGGGATCAGAATCTGCCTCGAGCAAAAGTTCAAGTGTCTTGGTGTCTTGTCCCCAAGAGATGGTAGGATGGAGTGGGAGATGGATAGACAGATTGGGATCCAGCTTACAGAAAAGCAGGTGCCACTCTGATCTGTCTTGGTGAAGAATAAGCTGAAGTCAAAGGCGGACTTCTGGATATATGCGTCACTTTCTGTGTCTCACCTATAGTCACAAGAAATGGATCAGAACTGAAAGAACCAGATTCCAATTGAAGCCAGCGGCTAAAACAAATTTCCTTGTGGAATCGCTTGACTTTAGAGAGAGAAAGAAATGAATCTTTAATCGACGTTTACATAAAAGTTCAAATTCTACTTGCTTTCTTTTATGTTACTTTGTTTGCATTGTCTTATTTTCTTATGTTTTCATCTAAATGTTTTTATAACTACAACGTAATGATGCACAGAGAAATGGGTGGTAACCAGAATCAGTTTTTTTTTTTGTTTGTTTTTTTTTTTGTCAGATGAGTGGAGGCGTAAAATTTAGCCCTGTAAGATTGCGCTGACATCCAGAGTTCCTACACATTTTAATGTTGAAATTCCACAATTTTCAAGACTGATTTTCAAACTTTTCAAAACAAGCAAACTAGAATTAAACAGCTTGAATACTTAGTGAGGCCATAGTACGTAGTTTCTGAATCACGATTCAGAAACGTTTCTGGGATTTCTGTGTGCCTGTGTTTGTTTTGTTTTGGCATGTGGACTAAAATAGATTGGTGCTATTTCAAAATCTATGATGAGACATTGAGATTCTACTTCCTGTTTTTCTGTTTGCCGAGTCCCACAGTGTTGAGATAAGACGATGAAAGACTCTCAGATCACAGACAAACATCCAGATAAAGAAAATTAACAGCACCAAGAGCCCTTTTATGTTTTTGTCCTATTTAGATATGATTGATCTCAATGGACTGGTATGACAGTGTGTCCCTATGATGTGGCAGTGTTTGATCTCCCCAGCTGTCAGTTGTGAGACAGACCTACTTTTCAGCTTGATTCATTTTAACCATCTTTTAAAGTTAAACTTTTAGGACGTTTTCAGGTGTTACTCCACGGTGCTCAGAATTAGGTCTGCTGTAATGTGTGAATTTTGTGTAAACCGCAGGGGTTACTTCATTAAAGCTATTCCAAATATAACCACAAGGTGGTGGTATTTCATTGTGCATAGCACACTTTGATCCAGAGGAATCTGGAGGAAGAGTTCTCGGGTTGAGAAGGTTTCCTCATGATTTTATTCACTCCAACTTCTTGTGCTTGTTGTGATCAGTCTAATATAAACTGTGTTCTTGATTTGACAAAAAGTGTAATATTCCATTCTACCTAGAATGGAATATTACTTCATATTTGCTGCGGTCTCTGTTTTAGAGCTTCCATGCACATTTCATTTCCTTGTTTTTCTCTTTTTCCCTCCTTGACGTCTGTCTTCCATCTGTGTGCTCTCCATCCACATATGAAAACTCTTAGCCAGCCCTACAGCCCCCTTCATTCTCCTCAGCTTTTATTTTCTCTACACAACTTTGACAGTTACATTTTATTTGCAGTTAGCTTTTTATTTTGGTATAAGAGTCTCTCATTGCTCTCTTTCAGTCCTTCCTCTGATCTTTCCCGGTGTTAGTTTATAGTGGAGGGTGTGCAGGGACATTGGGATGTTTGTATCCCAAGGTCAGACTTTTCCTGGGGGTGCTTGAGGCTGAGCCCTGGGCCCGCTGGCTCTGCACCTGGAGGTCAGGCTGGGGCTTGGATGTCAGGTTGCTTTAATCAACCAAGCTGCAGCTTCTCAGGGTTTACGTGGTGGATGCTCTTGTGTGTGTGTGTTTGCGTGTGCAACTATGTGTGAGTGTGTGTGTTGCTCTGGCCTGACTTGCCACTGCTTTGATCTGTGGGCCTCAGACTCCAGACACATCTGATTCAATTATCCTCATCCACCTGTTGACTTAGAGGCCTAAAATTGTGAAGCTTGGCCCCCCATCCAAATTTCATAGCTTCATGTGTGTGAGTGTGAACGGGTGCACACGCAGAGAGATAAACAGACTGTGTGAGCACACAGTACCTTGCCCGTTTTATTTAATATTCCTCATTGAATCAAATTGTATTTGCGCCCGAAAGTTTTCATACACATAATTCTCAAACAATAAATCATGATATATTCTGCCGGCCACTTTGAACACTTGCCAGATGTGAAATGTAACAGCTAGAGAGGGACGTTGGCACATGTGATGTTTAGTTTCCAACAATTACATTGTTGATTTTTTTATTTTATTTTTTTTTTCTCCACAAACCTTATTCATTTGAACTCATGTTCTTGCAAAGTTGGCAATAAGGTGTCATGGTCCAGTTTGAGTCCTTCATATTAAAATAATTATGCCAAATGTCAGACAGCAGATATCAGAGGGAAGATATGTGGTTCATATGACAGCGGGGGCTCAAACAAGTTTTTATTTAGGTTGTTAATTTCAAAAATATCTATTCAAAGCCATCAAACTCAATATAAAATAAATGGTGGTGGTCATTCGCGACTACATAACTAATCCAGAGACGTGAGGCTGCGCTAGAGAATTTACACAATGGCCTGTGAAGTATTGCAGCAATGAACAGTAACTTTGCTTGATCTCATTGTGTGCTATGCAAATGCTTTTCCTGCTTTGGTATCATGCATGCTTGAAACTAAAAGTGAAATTGACTTCTTTTCTGACTAATTTGGTTTTCCATTATCAGACTACTGGGAGAACTAGTAGAGCATTTAAACCTTGTTCTCAGATGCTCAGTTTTCCATTCATGAGTAAACTTTACTGTAGGATGTTGGACTTTACTTTTTTTTTAGAAATGACCATAGACCTATTTCCAGACAGATTGCTGGTCAGCAAGAGTTGCTTTTCCAAGGTCATTGGTGACATTTTCTCCCTGGTTTTCTGTTATCACAGTGAGGGTGTACTAAGTTTGTCAACCACTGCTTCTCCATTTCAACTTTATTTTTATGAAATGAAAAATGAAAGTTCGGAACCTGTTTTTAATGCTTGGTAAATCTGGAAAACACAATCGTTTTTTTTTATCATGTCCTGATGTGTAAAATTTCCGAATTGTGAACATGTGAAATCGTTAAAAATTCAGAAATTTTTACTTCCTGAATTTTTAATGAGTTCATATTTTGATGTATTTTCAAGTAAATTTATATTTTCCCAAAACTTAAGCAAAACTGGCAATTTTAAACAATCATGTCATATTGTTTGATGATTTGCACCTACAAACCCACAGGAGTTTGTTTCTTGAGGCGTCGTCTGTATCTGGGACAAATAGATTACAAAGTACCAAGTTGTTCATCTACAACTACATATCAGAATTTCTTTCTCCATAAATGCTTCGAAAAATCACAAATTAAGACTTACACATTATGTATCTTTTTAATATTATGACAGCTGTAGCTATATTTAATAGTCTTTTAATGGTTAATTTGTCAAAACGAACAATAAAAACACATTTGCAATGTACATAAATCTTTATATTATAACACGTTGAGGAGAACCTAATGTACCAAGATAAAAGGAGAAGCTATTTTAGAGATGCGTCTTCTAAAAATGCATGACTTTAGCTTTTTATGAGTTCCTTTGACAAGTTGTAGCACAACAGATAATTAGGTCACACCATGCAGCACTGCTAGAAGCCTATAATGTAATTATTACACTAACATCACTGTCCATGTATTTACATTACCATTTAAAAATATACCATGTGAAACTTTCCACATTTTATCACATTGAAACTAGAAACATTTATGTACTTTTCTGTGATTTTATAAGACATCCAACAGAGGTATTTTGTAGTTGAGAAGTGTAAGGAAAGGGATGCATGGTTTTCAAAATTTATACAAATGAAAATATAACAGGTGTGGTGCGTGTTTGTATGTAGCCCCTTGCAGTTGGGCCTGGAAAGTCTTTTTGTACTTTTTGACTTTTACATCTACAGATTGAAGCTTTCATTATCTCTACAACATTACCCCTGATACATCTAATGTGGTCAGCATGACGGTATTTATTCTCTAATTTTCTTCACCAGTCCTTTGAAATACTTCATATTTATTCTAAGATATTTAGGTAATAAAAAGGCACAAGTTATTTAGAGGTGTCAGAATGAAGGGGTAGTAAATCTGCATGCTAAGCAAATTAAAAAGGTTTGAGGAGTACAGATACTTTTGCAAGGCACTATGACTAGCTCTTAATTTGATCAGAGTATGTCTAGTAGTACATTATTAGATCACGAGGTCTAATAGTGAACACACTTACCACAGATGGAGGATGAATTAAAGCATTATTATATTAATCAATATTGGCTCTTCTAAGATGTAAGTGTTGTTTTGTATAATCTATAATCCTTAAAGTAGGTGCCCTCACAGGTCAAGTGATAATGAGATTCAGTGGTCCTTGTACTTAAAATGTACATGTACAAGGAAGGAAAAGCCAATGATCTTGTTATAGAGTGCTAATCAATCGCTCTCTGACCCACAGAAAGTGAAGCCATGTCTTCATAAGATGACAGAATATCTTTATTTAATTTTCTTTTACTGTGGCTCCACATCCGCATTCATTCACTCAATTATTGTTAGTGGACTGATAACGTCTCATGTGCCTGCGTCTAATGAGGCCGTTAGCGTAGTTATGCCCCTGATAGTTTGTAAGAGTATGTGGGTCTGTGTAATATATGGGAGCACTGTTAAAACAAGTGTGTGTGTGTGTGTGTGTGTGTGTGTCACCATAGATTTCCTGTAAAGCTGCTTAGTTTTTTTTTTTTTTTACACATGACAGACATGATGAGAGACAGTCATTGACGTGTCTGATTGTAAGGGAATGGTTTAAGTCTTAGCCATGCTCGCCATGTGTTGTGCATGGAAACTGAGTGAAGAATGGTGTGGACATTTATTGTTCAGATGGGATGGATTGCAGACCACAAACCATGCAACCAGTGCCAGATGTTGATGTGCGCATATGTCAAAGGAGGCTGCCGATGCAAGCACATTCATATACAAAGGGGAACAGACCGCAGGACCATACACTCACAGACTGTAGGTTATTTTCTTTTCACATGCATTCCTCTAATGTTTCTCTTTCAGGAGGAGACTGTATGAGGAGAAGGTCCTTCCTGAACCCGTGTCCTCCAGTTCACTCCAGCTGAGTCCAAGACGAGACTCGAGAATGGTTAGTTCATAATCACTTTCCCAGCTGCAAATTATCATCTAAAAAGTGTTATTTGATGCTTACCTTGCTGTAAAATGGCTTTGAATAAAATACATTAGTAGGTTTTAACGTGAGGGGATGAAGAAGATTTTGCTCTCAGGTTCAGTCAGGTGTCTTAAGTATATTTACCACTTTTCATTCATTCCCATTCTGAATAGCGCATGTATATTGGAATCAAGTGTGTGGATTGACAGTATTTTGCAGGTTTTGGATGAGCTAAGTTAATTTTTCTGTGACAATCTCGATTTCTTTTGTATTTTCCACATTCAAGAATTAGCTGATTTTCTGGGAGTTAAATTTCAACGCTCTCTGATCGCCCCCTAATGAGAATAGTATATTAGAACTTTTTTTAATCAACACAATTACCAGGGAGTTGAGTAAACTAGCCTATAAAAATCATTATTATTGTTGATTAGTTCAGTGTTGCTCTGATTCTGTATTGTTCTTAAAATGAACTGTTAACAAACGCACGACCAAGTCAGTGATGTGTCTATCATCTGCAGCCTGAAAATTTGGTTTAAATAGCCAGTGAACTGCGTTTCCAGCATTCAGATATGTTGAAATGAAACATTTATCCTGTTTGTCCGAGGTCGAGGCTTGGAAGCCGTATGCCATTCTAATCAAAAGAGGCACATAATCCTTAGCTATTCCATTCATCTGTTTCTTTGTGCCAGCACTGTCCCGCAGAGGTCCTCCCAAGGTCCACACTCCATCAGATCCTAATCACATTCAACAACATCTCTCAGTTTCCTATTGCTCCTTCAGTTTTATAAGATATTTCCCGTCTTCCTACTTCTGCTGCCCAAGCTTGACTTGGGTAAGCCGATCTTGTATCAACAAAAGCCCTGGAACCGTTTGAATTATAGTGCATAATAGAGATCCGGAACCCAGCCGTAACAAAAGACAGAAAAAATCTTCAGTGTAAGACAGTTTAGCTCTTGGAATGTATTGTTGAACAGATATTATGTAGAGCTGCTGCACATCTGGAGAACTGGATGCTAGAATGAATAGATTGAGCAGAAAAGACTGAGGATAACTAAGACATATACAGTGTTGTTGGTGTGTAAAGAAAGCACACAGGGCTCTGCCTTCAACCTTGAAACTTTAATAGAAACCGTTTGTTTTAAGCGGCGTTCTATCAAGTCGGCAGGCTGTGACAACCTCCATCATTGCCTGCTTTTTACTTCTTCAGGCTAAAATGCCAATCAGCGTGGTTTCAATAACATCCTCTAGTTTAAATCCCTACTATTTACTTCCATCGTGATCCTGCTGTCGATGCCATCATTTACCCCGTCTCTTTCTTCTCAGGTGGATGGGATGCTAAAAGCAAATGTGTCTGCTGGCGACAGCGAGTTGGAGGCTCGCCTTAACAGCTGGAACCTGGGGGTGAGTCCTTGGGCATGCCGTCAGCCTTCTGGTGGTTGGGGCTCACTGCAGGGACAGAGGTTCAGAAAAACTCAAAAGATGCACAAGACCCCAACCAGTACATTTTATTTTATTCTCCTGCAGTCAGTGCTAATGGTGCCAGCATCTGAAAGTCAGTAAAGATGTCTGGTTTTGTCAGGAATCGAAAAAGATTTTTGTCCCTTATTTTCAAAAGAGTTACTTTTTGTTCATTTTGCGTACTAGTCGTAAATAGGACAATGTCGATGCCAGTTTCAGATCTGGGGTTTAATTCACATTAAATTCCAGATCCAATCAATGAGCAGATTAAATTAAAACATTTTTTTCCCCCATGAAAATTATTATTATTTTTTTTAAGATAGAGAGCTTGGACTAGTCTGATCTAATAAAACAAATCTAATGAACTGAGCTTATCAACAAGTTCACATCCGATGTCCAGTTAAAGAAAATCTGTAATTCTGCACAGCATTATTAAAATTTAAAACTGTTCATGAGCCCTTTAATCAATTAGGAATCTGAGGACATGTTCCACATAAGATTCCTTTTTGTTAGAAGTTTTAGTAAACTCATCGGAGCTTGTTGGGATTCTCTTCAAAGAAGAAGGACTTTCTGCCTCAAGATTATTTTATTGATCAGAGGATTACCAAGCGAGGTATGTTACAAGTTTTCCTTGTGTAGTTTGTTATAGGAGCTGATTAAACCCACTGCTGATGCTATATTCCGTTGTGTGAATATAAGCTTTTTTACCCAGCCCCGTCTCCTCAATAAAATCTCAACTGACTGCTGCAGGCAAATCACGAGGTGTTTTATGGAGGTGGTGCACCTACAGTTAACATCTTTATCAGTGTGCTGAAACTGAGCTCTGTAAATAACACATTTTAGTTACACTCTTTTAGTTGTCTCATACTTTTATTGGTAAGTCCCATAATTAAGCTTTTTGTATAGACTTTATTTATTTATTTATTTTAATACAGTGGGACAAAAAAGTATTTAGTCAGCCACCAATTGTGCAAGTTCTCCCACTTAAAAAG